ACATCAAAAGGGTATAGATAGAGAATTGAGGCTAGTATTTTGTTTTAAACATTTTTCTGTAGCAAAAGTACAGAAAAGATTGAAAGCAGTATCAGACAGATGAACTGAGGCTTTTCCAAGTTACATGGTTTAAAACATATATGTCTAAAAATCATAAATAAGTATAATGCACCAAAGGATAACAAAATCAAATAATAAACATAACATAGACAGTGTCTTTAATTTATAAAGAGATTTGTAAAATTAAAAAAAAAAACACAGTGCAAAAGAAAAATAGACAAAAAAGACAAGAGATTTGGAATTCACAGAAAACAAGAAATGGTCATAAAAACACTTAAGCATTAATATTTTAAAAATAGAAATTTAAACAATTTCAATTACTAGTTTCACTCCATCAGATTGGGAAGGGTGGAGTGGTTAAACACTGACAGTGCTGTTGGGAATGAAAAATAATGAAATCTTTCTGAGAGCAATTTTACAATATGTGTCAAGAGTCTCCAAAAATATTGCATATTCAATCTAGGAATTCTACCCTTTTAAATCAGTTGTCTTTCCTAAGAAAATAATTACAGATGCAAAGATTTATAAACTAAAATGTCCAATGCAGAATAATTTATAACAAAGAAAAGGGAAAACAATGTAAATATTCAAGAATAGTAGGGCAGCCAAATATATTATGGGCTAGCCCTTTAATGAACTGCTATATAACCATCAAAAGTAAAAAGGAGAAAGTGTTTGCTACATAGTATTAACTATGAAAGAGTGATTGTGATACAAAATTGCTTCAATTATAATGTCAAAAAGATCATATGGGTGTATATCTATGTTTGTGCAGATGAATGAAGTCTAGCTATTTATACATGTATTTATACATGTACAAATAATTGAAAGAATAAAAGGAAATATACCAAACTGTTAACGATTGTGATTATTTTACTAGAAATTTTGTATATTAAAAACAGTCCACAGTTCTCTAAGCAATGTTTATAGTAATGCAGCAAAGAGAAGATAAAAGAAAAAATCAGAAATGGTTAATAGCATAGAAGCCAAACCAGCTACTTTTAATGAAACAGAAGATTTACTGTAAGCTTCACACAGATTTGGGTAGAACTATGGAAGTCGTTATTTCCAGTGGTACAGCTTAAAAAGAAAAAGGATTTAAAATTGGTTTAGAGATATTTTGAATGGATACTGCGACATAGCTCACCCTTGGGATTCACTGCCTGGTATAATCCTTGGGGCTGCACAGAAAACAGTCCTAAAATAGATAGCCCATTGTTCTGACTCAGCCCCAAGAAAGCCCACGTTTCCTTTCTGCATCAGGAATGCTGGCATGTGTCACCTTGTATGTCATAGAAACACTAGTCTTAGTAACTAGCATAGAAAGAGCAACCTAAAGATTCCCAAAGGCACCACTCTCATTCCTCAAGGAAAAGGCATACACTATGTATAACATAAGCCTGCTTCTTGCATCCTCTACATGAGGAATTCTGTTGTGGATTCCTTATTCACTCTGTTCAAGTAGAATTAGTCTCTAGAGTATAATTCTCAGAAATGAGTATCATTTAAAACTTCAGAACAGGCCACACTGGGCTATAATGACTGATTTAGAAAAGACTTTTCCAACTTGTAATTCACTTATCTGAATCAATAGCAATTCTAAGCTGGGCAATTCAGTTTTGGCTTTAATAATTACTAAGATTCCTGGAATGCTTTTACAGCTGCTTGCTTTTGTAACTTGTAGCATACTCAATGTAGACAGAATGTAGACAGAATTCTGTAAAACATACTAATCACGTGAACTTACTCATTCTACACACCAGAATCATATTTGAAATATCAGACAGGTTCAGGTAGTCCAGGTCAGTTTTCACTAGGCTACGATACAGTAACCAGTGACCAGTGACACTAAAATTCCGGTAATTTACAAAGAGAAAATTTCATTTTGTGTTCGTAATACACAATTAACTAGAATCAGCTACTTGGTCTAAATAAACAGTTATTTTCTAGAGAGCGTCCTTTCTTTGGTGGAGGTGGGGAGCAGAACCACATGATGGTTCTTAAAACTTCTGCTAGGATCTATCCATGGAATTTCTGCATGAACTTCATTGGCCAACAGAAGTCCAATGGCCAATGCTGATATAAATGGGACACAAAGGTTAAGGAATAACTGAAGAACAATACTATAATCTCCCACAAGTATCTGAAATGCACTATATTTTATCTAGTATCATAACTTGGAATCTGTGTGTATTTATGTGTGTATGTGTATGTACATGTATATGCATATATATGTGTATGTGTAAATGTGCCAAAAATGTATACACATTTTAAGAAAGGGAAAACTATATCAAAACTGTAATACTCAATATGTACTAATAACAAAAGATGAATACAAGTCACGTTTGACTTCTGCAATTGCAAGAGATGCTCAAAGTGGTTACCATCAGTGTTCAGACACCTGATTATGGCAAACTAAAAGTAATACGTAGATAACATCTCTTAAAATGTGTATACGTTTTTGGCACCCCTGGTGTGTGCACACACACACATACACACACACACATAGAGAGAGAGAGAGAATGGAGAGAGAGACACAGAGAGATAGAGAGCAATGCATGTATGGTTTCATAGCAAAGGACTTGGGGACTTGGGGACTTGGGTATATCAAGATTTGTGGAACCATTCAGCCAGCCCCAAAAGAAGCAGGATACTTCTTCCGTTCTATCAGTTAGGTTCTAGAATGAGAATCTAAAAACATTTTACTATACAACTAAGATAAACATAAACACAAATTCAGAATACTAGCAGAACCTAATGTTGATTTCTAGATCATCTCCCTACCCTAACCCACTCTTTCACTCAACACATTCAAGTAGACTGTGTGGTTGACTCTCATTCCATGATCCATAGATTTTATCTGGTATCACATTTTTGTCCTGTTCCCTAGCTCATTTGTTATTTCAGGATCCTTATTTTCTCTTCCTAATGAAAAACTCAGTCAAAATTTCTCTAGGTACAGGATATATCAATTTCTTTTTAAAGATAAATCTGTTTCTTTACACATTGAAAAATATTGGCTTCCACCTGTACTTGTTAAGCCAGAAGTGGCTTTCTGTTTTGTGTTTTGGTTTGCCCACTATTCAGCTATTTCTCTAATAGGAGTATCAATTCCTGCATCTGTGTTCTCTGCTCCCAGCTTCATGTGCTGTGTGCCTCTGGTGAGGCAAGACACATCTTAAAGTCACTTTGGCATGAAAATAAATTTCTTGTTTGAAATCTGAGTTAAAATATACCCCTCCATTGGATAGGAATAGCTCATCTAAATCATTTCCTATATTACATTTCTATACATGCTCTATTCTCCTCTCTACAGTCCTCTCACCTCAGCTGATGGTTCTGTTGAACCATTTTCAAATAGCATGATGGCTATGCTTGCTCACATTATGACAGTGTGTATTTTTAGAATGCCATATTTATTGCAGATTGCCAGCTTTCCTCAACCCTAATGCCTCCTTAGAAAGGGTCTATTTCTATGTAAGGTTCTTTTCCTTGAAAACAAAATACTCTTTTTCTTTATTCCTGTATCATTTCTGACAGAGCCAGTAGAAGCCAAAAGACCAAGAAGCCTAGTTTTCTAGTGCTAGAAAACTCAATATAATCTCTTATGTGAAGATCTAGGAAAATATAGTTTTACTCACTATTTCCATTTCCTCCGGTTAACATTATTTCTCCTAATAGTGAATGATACAGATCAAGATATTGTCAATCAAATTCCTATGCTTTTGGTGGTGATGGATTGTGTTTATAGCATTGATTGTAGTGACGGTTTCTCGGGTACATATTTATCTCCAAACTCATGCTGTAGTAAATTATGTACAGCTTTTTGTAAAAAAAAAAAAAAAATCCTATGCTAACAGTCAGTATCTAAGTGGCCACATAATCAATGTGCCCACACACACATTTCTGTCTGAAAACTACACTGCCATTTTATCATTTAGCAATTCAGTTTCTCAGATATGCCAAGAGACTTTCCAGTCACCAAAAAAGTTTAATATCTTGAATCTTGAGAATATTTAGTCATCCCAAAGATTCTGATTAATGTGGTAGACTTAAGAGGGCTTGCCTAACCCTCTTCTTCACACACTAGCACCTACAAAATAGTGTCTCAATCAGAAAGGCCCCTCCCACTCTTATTTTTAACTAACCACTCCAGAAAGGCAGTTTACAACCTGAGCTGAGGACAAGCATCTCTGGCATCAAGTGTCATTTGGAGATTTTGTGGCCCTGTACTAAATTCTGAGATTCTGACATCCCAACTGAACTCCATTCCTTTTTCCTGCTCCCTTATTTTTGGTTTGAACCATGAACCATAAATATGAAGTTGAATTTTTATCTATCTGTGTCCTTCCCTGCTCGGACATTGAGAAACACTCCAGGCTATACAAACTGATCAGAGTATCACTCCTACATGGCTTGGATATTTTTCTTTCAACCTCGACCTGCACATTTAAATTCTAAACCCTGCTCCTACCCTTCCATTTGGCATGAGGTCTTAGGTTTTTCATGTTAGCTTCACGATCAGAGCTCTGTCTGCTGGTCCAACTTCTTTTGGATTCTTCTGACATCTCCTGTTTTATCTGTCCTAGACCTATCCACAGTGGTGGTTTTTGTCCACCAGTGACTCACAATAAAAAGATGACCCTCTCACCAATGATTGGCATTGTCAAAACATGCTTCAAATTTACATATCTGACTGTTTCATAGATATTAATATACATGTAGATATACATATTGATATGCATGTAGATATATATCGATTTGGATATACATATAAATATACATATAAACACATATATACATGTAAATAAAAAATATTCTGTTGTTAAATAATTTGAGAGGCTTTAATCAAATTTTTGTTTTAAACTGCATTTAACATTGTTCAGATTTTTGATGATTTTTGACCTATGAAAATAAACTGATTTCTCCTCTACTTTTAGATGGTCCTGTAGTCTATGCAGCTTATTTAAAAATGGAGCACAGTGACGAGAATATTCAATTCTGGATGGCATGTGAAACTTATAAGAAAATTGCCTCACGGTGGAACAGAATTTTTAGGGCAAAGAAGCTTTATAAGATTTATATCCAGCCACAGTCCCCTAGAGAGGTAACTACCTGACAGTGAGGGAAAATGGAAATCAGTACATCCCTGGGAGGGAGGACACCAATATCTGTCAAACATCCAAGAGGGAAGCACTTTATATCCTGTATCTCCTAAAATGCTATACATTTAGTATTGCTAACCTTATTTTACAGATAAGAAACACAAGAATCAGAGAACTTGTTCAGTGTCACAAGGCCATTAAGTGGTAAAGCTAGGATTGTCTGACTCCAAAACTTCTCCCCATTCAATTATCTTAATTCCTAGGAAAGTTAAAAAGAAAAAAGGGGTTCTTGGAAGAAAGTTGGCCTTGTCATCAGAAAATACAAATACCATAAATAGACATGTGGAAGTCCCCAGGGGTGTTGGGCAATGAGAAATAATAATTCCTGTTAAGGGGATAAGAATAGAGGAAAGCATATGAGACGTCTATCACTCTGGACAGTCCCACATCATTGACTTACTTCTCAAAACTCTTGTCTGGAAACACTTGGTTGATTGAAATAACCACTTCTTCCCTCTGTTTCTCCACTTCTTTTTTCCCCCCATTTCGGAGTATATTAAGTTAAAATAGCATTTGTGACTACTAAGGAAGATACATTTTAAAATAGCATCAACTTGTCTTTTTCTTAAAAAGTGACCTTTGTCTTATAAACTTCCCGGTTTGTGGACTGCTGCTAACAAACCCATTTGCATCCTCCTAAGTAAGCAGTGGTTTTGGAGACTTCCCTGGTCTTGTGCCTTGAGTATCTCTTACTTTTAAAAAAGCAAAAAGTGTGCCCATTATAAGTCTTCTTCTTTTTTTTAATCAATATTTTTTATTATGATATTGCGGGGTACAGTTAAGGGTTAGGTATACAAATACATTTCATTCAGGCACCCTGTTGATAAGAGGTGTTTTCCCGTCCCCAATAAGTCTTCTTTATTTTATTTCACTGAGTCAGGGTCTCACTCTGTTGCCCAGACTAGATAGAGTGCAGTAGCACGATCACAGCTCACTGCAGCCTAGACCTCCTAGGCTCAGGCAATCCTTCCATCTCAGCCTCCTGAGTAATTAGGACTATAGGTGTGTGCTAACATGTCTGGCTAGTTTATTATTTTATTTTATTTTATATTTTGTAGTGATGAGGCCTCGCTATGTTGTCCAGGCTGATCTCGAACTCCTGGGCTAAAGTAATCCTCTCACTTTGACCTCCCAAATTGCTGGGACTACAGGCATAAGCCACAGCATTCGGCCATAAGTCTTTTTAGATACCAATGAAACTGCCAATAAAATTATCCTATTCTACTGAAAAGGAGAAGGGGTATAAATTCAGCCTTTCCATTATACGTATGTCTATCTCCAATTATTCTTACTTATGCTATACATGCAATTTCACTTTTCAGATTAACATTGACAGTTCAACAAGAGAAGCTATCATCAAGAACATTCAAGAACCTACTCAAACATGTTTTGAAGAGGCACAAAAAATAGTCTATATGCATATGGAAAGAGATTCCTATCCTAGATTTCTAAAGTCAGAAATGTACCAGAAACTTTTGAAAACGATTCAGACCAACAACAGTTCCTCAAAAGTTTAAATTGAAGATGGTATTGGAAGTACGGGCTTGGTCTTTTAATTTAGAAAAACAAAATCAGTAATACATAGGAATGCAAGAGAAATCAAATTATAAATTGATTTTTTAGTTTCCAAAGAGAAACAGATTCTAAGAGAAATGGACTCTAGAATTCTTTTAACATGAACAACACAATTTATAGAACATACCTATGTAGTTTCATTAACATATAAGGGAAATGAAGGTACTTCTTCGTGGCACAAAAAGTTATAAAGTTTTTACTGTAGTAGTCAACTAATGGATGCTTTCTTATTAATAAAATCTTGCTGTCAAAATGCAAGATTTAAAAATTGTAGCTGTATGAATTATGTCTCCAGCATGAATGTATTCTACAGATAGGGTATTTTTAATAACTTTAATTAGTAGACAGTCTTGGTACTCACAGTATATCGTGAACTTGCATTGCCATAAGGGTATACAATTTGGTGTCCATATTTTACAATTTTTTTCTCTTACAATATGAATTAATCATGGTCTTGTTAATGAATAAAGCCAAATATAAACTAAAGATGTATAAATACATGACTTTTTCAAAGACAAAAAAATATATATTTTCCAGTACAAATTTCTAATGGCCTAAAGCTGGTACATTATAACAGTGAGAACATTTAATATTTTTACTTTCCATAGTGTTCTTGAAAAGTGTAGGCAATTTAACACATTCATTTGATGCTAACTTACTGTCACTTTAAAACAACGTTAAAAGAATCCAGATTCAACATCCATCTTCAGAAACTCATCAAAATATTTACAAGTATAAGATGGCTGCCTTTTATACTTAAAATAATTTTAAAATTTTAAGTCTTATACTCCTGAAGGAAGAAAGCATGCAAAAATTATGTCCTCCTTGAAGTAATTTTTAATTCATGTTTTCTCTTGGTTGTGAAAAATAATTTTAAAAGATTTGTCCCTTTTACCGAAACAAAGCTTTTCCTCTTTTCCTAGTGATTCACTAATTTTTATGCCACTGCACTATTTATTCCATAAGTCATTACATTTTATTGGTACCTAGAAGAATAAATTTTATGTCAGATGCCTCTATAGCTGACAAAATCCCAGGTGTTTTGTCAGTAGCGTTTCACACTTTTAAAAAGATGAGCAACAGGTATTCTTAGCACTCATTCAAGTGCTAAGAAAAACTAAGTCAATAAACCACCTTGCCTCCAATTCTAAACCAAAGGAAGTCAAGCAACAAAAAATGAATAAACAGAGAAGCGTCACTGATTAAAAAAAAAAAAAACTGATACTTCGATTCCACACAATGTAAGGAATACTGAATTTATTGTTAAGAATCTTGGGTTTTGGTTCTGGGTTTCGCAGACTAGCTATATATGCTTATTTCGCTCTAGGTAAACTACAGAAACATACACAAATTACTTATTTTTCTGCTCCTCTGTTTCTTCATCTTTAAAATGAGGTGATTAGAATATATAATATGTTAGTTCCTTTTCAGTTTCAAAATTCTGATTACCTTCAGGATTTTTAAATAACTGAGTTCTTCAACATCTGGAAGATTTTGTGTGGTATTCTATTGCCTGTCCTGTGATTTTGTATATGTAGTTGTATGACCTATGCTCAAAACAGAACTTTCTCACGAGAGTGCTCTTCTAAGATCACTAGTGTAAATCATTAACAAGCTCCACCCTCCCTGACTCGCTCCCTTGACCCAGGCCTTCCCATACCATTCACTGTTGAAACCTGTGCATGGAGATTCTTCAAAAAATTAAAAATAGAACTGCCATATAATCCAGAAATCCCACTTCTGGGTACTTATCCAAAGGAATTGAAAACAGGATCCTGAAGAGATATCTATGCCCCCATGTTCACTTCAGCGTTATTCACAATAGCCAAGATATGAAAACAACTAGAAGTTCCTCAACAGATATAAGTAGATAAAGAAAATGTTATGTGCACAGAGATACAAACACTCACAGTGGAATATTATTCATCCTTTAAAAGTGAAGAAATCTTGCCATTTGTACTAACTTGGTTGGAGAAGTTATGCCAAGTCAAATAAACAAGACACAAAAAGAGAAATACTGCCTGATCTAATTTATATGTAAAATCTAGAATATTCAAACTTACAGAAGAAGACATAGTAGAATGGTGGTTTCCAGAGACTAGAGGGAGGAAGAAATGGGGAGATATTGGTCAAGGGGCACAAAATTTTAGTAATGCAGAATGAACAAGTTCTAAAGATTTAATGCACAGAGCATGGTGACATTAGTTAACAATACTGTGTGTATTATTGAAATTTTCTAGGAGAATAGATCTTAAATCTTCTCAACACACATACACATGGAAAAGGTAATTATGTCGAACGACAGGCATGTAAATTAACTGAATTGCAGGGGTTATTTCAAAATGTGTACTTTATCAAAACATCAAGTTGTACATCTTAAATATATACAAATTTTATATCAATTATATCTCAATAAAACTGTTTTAAAAAACCTTCACAACTTTTCTTAGAAAGACTGGATTATCCTATCATTATAAGACAAATTTCAGGAGAATAAAATACTATATTTTTCACAACACTCGTTGTACATAAATTTTAGTGATGATGTGTATAAAGTGATAGAAACTGTATAATTTACACTGGATGGGAAAAAGTGTGATATTGTTAGGCTCATTAGAGCATGGGTAATATTGTTGATTGTTGAGGAGATCAGAGGGTAACAAAAGAATAGAAATTCCTTGAGGCTATAGAGGTATCTTATTCTACATTATATTCCCACTGCTAGACAGAAAATATGGAACATATCACACTAAAAAATAGATAAATTAATGAGTGAAGGAGTAAATAAATGAATCATCACCAAAAAAAAATAAATAAATCTAGTGCCAGATCTCCATTATGCTGTAACTTAGCCCTACCTGTCTTTAAAAAGCAATTCATAGTTTGCACAGAAAATGTAAGATTTAAGAACTTACACATGCATAAAAGTAGAGCATTATGGCCTGAATTTGAACAATTCAGCAAACTGTCTACCAAATGCATAGAAAGACTCCACAAACAGAAATGCAGTTCTACTAAATATTGATGGTCTGGGAGAAAGTGTAATAATTCAAGGCAACAAGGTACAGGAAAATTTATATAAGTGTATGAATGTAGTTGCCTGGTTAAAGGGAAAGCAGGCTTTAAAGTAATGCTCAGTCATATCATCAATGAAACAGTCATGATTCTGGTTGTTTTCTTTCTTTTCTTTCTTTCTTTTTTTTTTTTTTTGAGTAGGAATCTCACTCCGTCACCTAGACTGGAGTGCAGTAGTATGTTCACAGCCACCACAGCCTCGACCTGCTGGGCTCAGGAGATTCCTCTGCCTCAGCCTTTAAAGTGGCTAGAAATACGGGTGCAGCCACCATGCAGGGTTACATTTTTTTATTTATTGTAGAAACGAGGTCTAGTCATGTTGCCCAGGCTGATCTCAAACCCTTGAACTCAGGAAACCCTCTCACCTCGGCCTCCCAAAGTGCTGGGATTACAGGTGTGAGCCACTGCACCAGGCTTGTTTTCATTATTAACACATTCATATGTCAAAATTTTCTTGATTTTTAAAAAATTTTTAGAGTGGTAGAGTACATGTGAGGATTTACTGCACAAGTAAGTTGCATGCAGATGAAGGTCTGGGCTTGTAGTCCGCCCTTTCTCCCCTGAGAGTGGACCTGGTGTGTGGTGTATTGCGATGTACTCCTCATCCTTCTTCCCTCCTCCCTCCCTCCCTCCCCTAGCAGTGCCTAGTCTCTGCCATTCTCGCCCTAGTGCTCATGTGACCAGTGATCAGAGCCCTCTAATGAGTAAGAACATGCTCATTAGATATTATAAACAAAACAAAGCGGATGTTTCTGTGATAGTTCACTTAGTATGATGGTCTCCAGCTATATCCATGTTGCTGTAAGAGACATGATTTTGTTCTTTATGGCTGCATAATACTCCATCATGTATATGTGGCATATTTTATTTATCAAGTCCACTTTTGATGAGCATCTGGGTTTCTTCCATATTTTTGCTACCATGAGTAGTGCTGCAATAAACATTTGTGTGCAGGTGTCTTTTTGGTAGAGCAATTTACATTCCTCTGGGTATATTCCCAGAGGTAGAATTATGTAATCACATGAAAGCTCAATTCTTAGCTCTTTGAGAAAAAGCCACACTGCTTTCCACGAAAGTTGAACTAGCTTGCCCTCCCACCAACAATGTAGAAATGTTCACTTTTCTCCACAGCTGTGCCAATACCTGTGGTATTTTACCTTTTTAAAAAATGATAGCCGTCCTTACTGGTGCTAAGTGGTATCTCACTGTAGTTTTGATTTGCATTTCTCTGATAATTAGTGAGCCTGCGCATTTTTCATGTTTGTGGGCTGCTTGAATGTCTTCCTTTCAGAAATGTCTTTTCATGTCCTTTGCCCACTTTTAAATAAGTTTAAAATATGTTTGTTTTTTCCTGTCCATTCATTTGAGTTGCAACAACTCAGCAACTTGCAATTCTTCTTACAACCAAGAAAGTCCTTGATTCTCTTTTTCAAAATCAGAAAGGTCAGTTGAATGAGTGTGTGAATAAATTTGCCAAATTTCCTTTTCAAACAATTTCTAAAAGCTGAGCTTCTAAATGTTTAATTACCTTCCATTAACATTCTTACTGATTACAGAAAAACTGCTTTTGACTCTCCAGTCATAGCAGCTTCTTAGCATTTGTCAGACTATTCCAGAGGAAATAACTCATATCTGTTTCACTTGCTTTGTTTGGTACATAGCACAGGATCAATGTGCTATACAAGTTGGTAAATATTCTATGCTTTTGATAAAAACTAAAATACCTAAAATATTTAATATTATTTTTCCAAATAATTAAGTATAAAAAATTTGTTCAAGATCATTTTACTGTGAAAAATGTTTCTTGGGTCTCTAAGTCGACTGAAATGGCATTACTAATTTTAAAATACTGGCAGGGCAT